TTTAATAAGTTTCGGCAACGCACACGTTGCCAATGTGGCATTCTCTATTTAAAATCATAGAGTTAACTTGGATGTCAGTCAAAAGCATCCCTTTGTTGTCGATTTCAATAACTATGGACTTTCATTCAATTTATCGATAAACTGTGCTCACGTCGTAATTCGCACTCTCATTCATGAACGAAAGACACAAGATCACGTAAGAACAAGAGAGTGAAAAAAGTCGATTTCTTTTAGCGGGTTCTACGCCATCTTGTTTCACTGGAAAACGAGCGAAAAGTAAACAAAGCAAAGAAAACAACGAAAACCAAAATCAGCCAAAATTATTGTCAGCCACTTTAAACGCACAGTTTAGGTAAAATGATGCAACAAAATGCTTTAAAATGTGTTGTCATGTTGAATTAACTCTTCTTTACTTGAATAAAAGTGTAAAATAGTGGTGCTTGTAATGTATTTTTGGTTCATGACTCTCATTCGTAATTCGCTTTCGAGAGCGAATTACCTCATTTGTAAGTAATTCAGATGCAATTACGAACCCGTCCCTAATTTTAATCGGAAATATATCGAACTCAGCCGTCAGAGAAAAAGAGAGTAGAAGAAGTCAAAACAAAGAATGAGAGGAAATGACGGAAATAAAAATGAACTGTCAAATCGAATTAAGAATGTGGCGGTAATTTATCAAAATAATTCAGAAGCGAACGACATAATTGGCAGTGCTTGTGGAAATTTATTTGTACACTATACTGAGCCCGAATCGCGGCAATCCTGATCGTGACCTTATCAACTCATCGCCGCCGTACTTGAATAGCTCAGCTGGCAGGCCATATGCTCCATCAGCTTTGTGGAACATCGACTCCGTCATCATCGACTGGCGGTTCGGGTTCTTCTTCTTCCCAACTTTCCGTGCTGTTACCATTCAGTAGGTTGGAAATGTATTCCCTCTATAATTTACGTGCGTTCTAAATATTGGTAACTAGGTCGCCATTGTTGTTCTTACAGGAGTATGCCCTGGACTGGAAACCTTCCGAAGGTCGCCTAACTCTCTGGTAACATTTTCGGGCATTCTTCCTGTCGGTTAGCATTTCAAGCTCTTCGCACTCAAATATTTCGGCCTCTCTCCTCTTATTGCTTTTAAACGTTAAGCTTTCACATGCGAAACATTATTACAT